AGGCAAGACAAGCTAGAAAGGCGAGTCCAAGGTGGGGAGACGGGTAGGTTGGCGTTCACGGCTAGAGAGCCACTGGGAAGGTGTCGAGAAGCGGGTGACGGGGCCGGGAGGAGAGCGAAATGAGGTCTAGGCCAGGATCGAGCTCGCCAACCACACGGCTGGGCCATTGCGACCCTTGACAGATCTCGCGGATGACTTGAGGTAGATAACGGTATCGCTAGGGCCGTTTGCTGTCACCACCAAGCCAAGCAGGCAAGTAAGATGTGTGCAAGTCAGGCCGTTGAGTGCCCCAAATTAGAGCATAAAATCAACCCTAAAGCGAGCTAAGGTATAGAGGGCCGCATTCCGCAGCGACCAGGATTTCCAAGACTTGAGAGACGGCTGCTTAACACTCTGTGCAGGCACTGTTGTTGGTGCAACGATAACGAACGAAGTAGCATAGAGACAGAGCCTAATCCCGGCTCAGCCCAAGCCAGTCCAAGTTTGGAATATGTCCGTATTTGAACCATGTTCGTGGGTTCTTTTTCAAAGTGATGCCATCGTCCCATGAGTTCTCCACCATCAAGAGCCAGCACAAGAAGAACACCAACACACTCGGAAGATATCGAGTACGGCACCTTGCGCTTTCTCTGGATTGAAGTGTGCGCACAGCCCCAATTTGGCAGGCTGGCCCATGCAGTTCAAGCACTTGTAGTGCCATGACCGCGAGGTAGATGCAGGTGCGTGAGAACCAACGACGGTGGCCCGCGGTCTTAGGTAGGTAGGTACGTAAGGCACCTTGGAGAGTAGGTAAACAAGTGAGCGCATTTGTCGTTGGCATCCTATGGTTGCTCACTATTATTATCTTTGGAGGGCAGCATGGTAGATTCGCCGAGACAGAATCAAGGAAAAGCTTGATGGCTGCAACGTCATAAACACCATTCCACAGCATGCTGCCATAATTCCTTTGAGCTCTGTTGACCAGTCAGAATTTGGGGGCCATCACCGCTGACCTGTTGGCGACGGTTCGTGCTTTGCGTCCTCATAATTATCGTCTAGCGTTCCTGAAAATGGAGGGAGGTTCCTTGGCCAAATCATGGATCGTTCATGTGCAGACATAGGTCCCATCAGGATGAGGGCCAGGGGCCTCACGGTAGGCTCTAATCTCTGTATGCGTCCCGTCTCAATGGCATGGTAGGGCCAACGGATCAGGTGGTGCGACTCGTGCGACTCGTGCGAGTCCGGCTCGGTGCAAGCCAGGCGAATGGCAAGGCAAGGCCAAGTACAGTAGGAACCGGGCTAGATCCGAAAAGCCGATACGGTAAAGTACGAGGAAACGGCTCAAGACCGAGGAAACCCCAGAGGATAATAGGGAATAAACCCCTGGTCGAACCGGTCAAGTGCTGTATTTGGCTTGGGGCAGGGCCGTGACTCCGGCTGGTCTGGAGAATGGATGTGATATGTGGAAGCTCTCATGTCCAATTTATCCCTACACGCTGCCGTTGCACGGAATAATTGAGTGGGCGCGGTCCAGGTGGGTCAGGAACTTGTGGAGTAGGTGGGCACGATGTAACGAAAGGACAGTGCTATTTATCCTTGAAACGGCCTGTGATGGGACTTCTGAAGGCCCAAATGGCGCGGCTGTTTGTTAGGAAGTCTACAGTGTCTGTAACCTTACCAGATGTGGCAGTAGATATCGGCTTGTTCCTGGCCTCCAGTCCGCTCAACGGCCGGTGGCGCCCCGCAAAACGGCCTCTACATACCTAGGTACCTTAGGTAGGGTACCTTAGTACCTTACTAACCGGGCTGTACTGGACATATCAACGCCCCAGCGGTGGATGGACGCACATGTTGGCAAATAGCCTCAATATTCATTCATCCCGTTTAAACGCAGCCGGACCGAAGATACTGCATTTCCAAATCCACGGCACAAAACACAGTTTGAGGCTCGCCTTATCTTGTCTTGTCTTACCCTACGACGGCCCGGTCCTTTCAATACTTCCGTTCTTACACTGCGTGGACTCCGTCCGTATATAATTTTAGGGACCTTTGCGCATCCATCCATCCATCCAATATCTATCTGCAGTTGAGATAGATACACCCACCAAATTAATCTTGTAGGACAAAGCCCACTCGGACGGAGATTATAGGCCATATCCGCGTTGCTCTCGCGGTTAGATAGGTAGTAGGTATTTGTCAGAAAGCAAGATCTCTTCTCCCAGTCCATGCATCTGGGGAGGCGATGTATTGCATCCGACGATGCTACTGCGCTAAATGATGACGCTACGTACAACATCCGTACATACGAATACACCAGCAATCGAGGAGCAAGCAATGGAAAATCAGTACAAATAGCGGGTATGCATCATCAGCCGAGTAAGTCCATGAAGAGGGAGCACTCAGCTAACGTTAGTGCCTCGGGGGCTTCTGTCTCATGGCGGGGGTTCCTAATTTTTGGTCCATCCCGTCTCTAACCTCCACCACCTTACGGGGGTAAAGTCGCGACGAGTTTGCCCAAATTGGCGAAAGCCAAGACAAAACGTCCCAGCTTTCTAGGGTCCCTGGATAATCATTAGTCTAACTATATGTACAGACCTGACAGGCGCAGGCGCACCGGTTCTTTTTGCCGCCGAGACGCCAAAGCCTAAGGTACCTAGGTAGTAGGTTTAAGTCCACGATCCAATTTCAGAGCGAGCAAGCAGGCAGGCAGGCACGTTATAGAGTATTGTGTTGTGTTGTTTTGTTTTGTTCCCACATGCGCCAGGGTTTTAGATGCAGATTATTTTGCTCGGCTCCCTCCTTATTGGCTGCGGGCTCGGCTACCTACTATATAATAATCATGAGCTGAAGAGTTCTTGAATGATCTACGGCGCAAGACCTAGATACTTCCAAACCGTCTGTTTACAAGCGTCGTATATCGTATACAGACCAGGCGCTGCAGGGCTGCCATCTGCACCATGAAAGGCTTGAATCATCAACCCATACTTTTGCGATGCTGGCGAAACTGAGAAAAGCCACTTCCTTTCAACTCTAATCACAATATTATTACTCCGTACTGTTCTAACAAACGTTCGTCTTCAAGGTCCATATAACTAACTGAGCTTTGGATGACTGCGTGCAAAAAGTCAAGGATCCTGGGAAACCTGGAACCTTGCAAAGGAGCCAGATTGTTCATCCGCAGAGTCCGGCCCGAAAACTCTGCAGCAAAGAAAGCAAAACCCTCTGAAACCTCTTGAGTGCAGGAGTCATAATGACACCTCGGAATCAGAGCTTCCACAGTAATGGGATCGATAGACTCCATGGGGCGAGGGTTACACAAACGGCATTCGGCCATTGTCTTCTCATCGCCGAGTTAATTACACGTCCCGGTCAAGATTGAATGATCAGACGCGGTTCGTGCGGTTACCCTTCGTGAAGATCATGACTTGAAGAGCGTCCCAAAACTGCAATCACCGATCGGTTGCTGCACAAGCTTAATTCAGAGCCAGCTCTTGACTGGCAATGGCACACCAACTGTCTCTGGGATCGAGGCACGAGTGGGTAATCTAGGACGACAAAGAGAGGGGGCAATGGATGGTGGGCAATCTTTGACTGTTCCATCGATTCCTGGTACCTACACCTGCAGAAGCCACTGCATTAGGAATGCCATGGCCTGTGATGAGAACGGTAGCTACGGTACTTTCTCCTTTGCTTGCTTCCACGGAGGCTATTTAAATCAGATCCTGGATGCCTGCCAGGATGATTGCCCACCATATTGATTCCGAATAGCTCTTGGCAGTGAGTGCGCATCTTCAATCTGGGTGGTGACTACAGATGACAGTTGTCGCGACGGTTATGGCTGAGCAGTATCGAGCAAGATGTCCATTCTCGCACGAACACACGTTTCTTGTAGTAGTGCTCTTCCGCAGTTCCAGCCCGCACCACGATATACAATCCCATCTGCTTCGTTGCCCATCTCCAGAGGTTGAGTGTGGTTTCGCGATGACTTCTGCCTCGCCTATCCCTGCTCAACGGTTTGGATGACATGCACCGAATTAGAGTTTTCCTGACAGACTCTAAACGGGATTCAGGCGATTTCCAAGTGAGCCGTGCGCTGGCTATGATCGATCCCCAGCCTAGGTCTTTCTCCTCGATCAGGGGTCCACGGAGATCCATCCCACTTGGAGCCTTCCAGACCATCCATGCATGCCATGATGATCTTCAAGTCAAGGATCTCGAAGATCTATCTCACGGCTGAGGTACGCCGGAAGCGTTGCCTCAGCTCTCATCCAGTTCCGTTCTTGGTCTGACAATGCAAGGTCGCACAAGACAGGTACGTAGAGCTGCAGCACCTAAACCGGCAAATTCCCCGGAATCTGCCTGCCATATTGGTTTGTTACTGCAGTACCTCCTGTATCCTTGTCAGTTGGTGGTGATCTTCTAGCCCCCAGGGCCTGTTTACAATCCGTCGACCAAACTGCGAGCAACCAAGGGGCACATCTAGCTACTGGGTATATGGCAAAGGCCCGTTGAGGCGGCCGCGCCCAGGGTCTCTTTTGTACAGAACTCTACGTATAAGTCAAAGTCCAGAGTCTAGATCGCAATAACAGACCCCTAGTTCTATTCTTAGGATGCTACTGCACAAGAGCCTTAGAACATTTGTTGTTGAACCCAAAGCACTGTCACACATTAATGACGCAAGGTTACCAAGTATCTCATGAGTTCCTCGGCTCGACGAGTATCAGATGCTCGTCGCCGCGTCTGTCAATTGCAACCCCATAATCTCGCTCTCATACTCATGGAGCAAGGCGCCTAGCAAGGAACACCTATTCAAGAAGTCCCGGGATGTTCATCTACTTGCCACATAGTTATTCTCTGTATCCGTGCAATATGTCACAGTCATGATAGTCCAGACTATGCAAATCTTTCGCAAGTTTACAGCCATTTATTAGGGGAGTTTGTTAATAATTGAGCCACACCTCTGAGGAGTTCGGAGTTCTTGTCGCACCTCGGCGAATATCCATACGTATCTGTCTGTTTGCTTAGGCAAAGCCTTTGGCGAGTTGCCAGAAGTTGTCCATCTTGGTACGGGCCAGAGCATCTCTCGCTTCCGAGTCTGTCTCACACACTTTACTTCCCCATTTTCTGAATGCTCGTGCCTTCTCTTCGCCCTCAAAGACAAGCTTGCATTCGTTCATCGACATATCCTTGAGCTCGCCGTTATCCTTTTCGGCCAGGAGCCAGTCGCGTGTGGCGCCTTGTTTTCCGTCTCGGTCTCTTGACGGCGAATTCTCGGTCCAGTCGATTCGGTTAAGCATGAGCTTCTTGTACTTCTTGATACTCCATTCACCTCCTTCTACAATCACCAAATTGAATTTGGGGTGCATGACGCATATGCCTGTAAGTGCCAGTTGCTCAGCGTTCATACCGATCTTATAACGGTGTTGCCCATTCGCTAGGCTTTCAATCTTGAAGACCAACATGTGGATTCCCTTCTCGGCGTCTTTTTGTTGATTCGTCGCGATTTTTTCGTGTTTCTGATCTTTGGTGAGTTTTCTTTCTTCGTTTGTTTCGACATGTTTCTGGTGGCGTTCCGCAATCTCTCGATTGACACGCGCTTCGACAGCAGTTGGATCCTTGACGGCAACTAGAAAAAACATTAGTATGTGATTGAGTCAGTGAAATCATATGTTAGCCTCACCGTCACCAAGAACTCGCATCAGGTTGCCCTTCTTGACCTTGGGAGGTGGAGCTGGTACCAATCCCAAGCGAATTTTAGCTTGCATTTCTTTTAGCTCAGCCATTCGCCGTTGTCGCCTCAATTTTGCTTGCTCTCTCGAAGTCAGGAACATAGGCTTCGCCGCTGGAACATGTCGGTCTTGAGGTGGCTCGAGTGCAACCGGATGCTGAATGTATTCAGTGATAATGCTGTCAGCTGTCGTAAGTTTGAGTTTCGAAGGGTCATCCAGCCTGTAATAGCTTCCTCCGTCAACAAGTCCTTCATCCCACCACTCAATCTCTGGCGGTGCATCCACGACATAGTTCCTTTCAACATCTAGATCATCGTCGATACCAGCTTTTCGAGTTTGCTCTGCAATTCGTTTTTTCATCGCCTCCAAGGCGGCTTGTCGACGAAGAGCATTGGCTTGGGCAATATATTTGCCCTTCTGGTTGAACACAAGTGATCTTGACTGTCGTCCCTTCCCTCCACCAGGTTGTGTTGAAAGACTAGGATCGTAGTAGGGGTTTTCTCCATTCTGTTTGTTGCCCAAGCCTAGCCTCGTGGCGTCTTGCGATCGGACCTTGTCTGTTCGCCCGCTTGATGGTATTGGTGTCGATTCCTTTGGTTTACTTGCGGGCTTATATGATCCTAGATCTTCCAAGGCAGGATGAAGCCCAACATTTAGACCCCCCTTTGCCTTGCTGGTTCCGATTGCTGCGGCGACTCGAGCCTTGAGTGCAGCCATCCTGTCCGCAGCAGACTCGGTCTTTTGCACTCGCGATGATGCATCATGGCGAGGGCCGAGCCCATGGGATTGGTTGTTGCGATCCATCACTGCAGCTCAACGATGCCTGATCGTTTGATTAAGGCTACAAAGACACTGCCTTTTACAGCTGTGCTAAAGAGCGCGTTTGGATGATCAATTATTTCAACTGCGAACTATGGCGGGTATCAACAGGAAAAATTCAGTTGGAAGGTCCGGCGGTCGTGGTTTCGGTGATGCGCGTGCAATAGATACAGCTTTCAAGATGATGCAAATGGCAAGGTCAGCCAGAGCCAAGCGTGGAGACACTGAGTCGCGCGCAAGACTGGCTGCATAGATCGGTCTAAAATTCTGCCGGGCCGCACCGCCAAAAAATTGTTCTCTCGCAACGGTCCCCACTACCTCTCCGATTTATCTTCACTTCGCATACTGCGCTGGGAATGGATTTCGTCAGTTAACCCAAAGACGTCGCTCAATCGCCATATTATTCGCTCGAAAGGGCGGCAGTAACGTCACCATGAACATCGCACAGCCGGTCGCATCCGGGGTAGAGAGCGTTGAGTTTACGTTCTTGTCACCAAAGGAAATCCGAGCAATCTCTGTGAAGCGAATTGAGAACCCCGAAACGTTTGACAATCTTCTCAATCCTGTACCGGGCGGTCTCTATGACCCTGCCCTCGGATCTTGGGGCGATGCGCCGTAAGTTCCATTGACATACCAAGATTGACGAAGACAGCCTCTCACAGCGCAATCGCAGGTGCACAACATGTAACTTGAACCAGGCTACATGCCCCGGACATGCTGGACACATTCAACTTCCTGTGCCAGTATATCATCCAGTATTCATGGATCAAGCTTACCGACTCCTGAAGGCTGCCTGCGTATACTGCAAAGGATTCCGACTTCCCCAGAAAGAACTACACAAGTATGTGTGCCAACTAAAACTCCTTCAGCACGGCTTGATACAAGAGGCTCACGTAGTGGGTGCCATTGGTGATAACGAGCTGGCCATCGAGCTCGGCGACTTCTCTGAATTGGAAAGTGAAGCTGAGGAGGAGGGCGCCACCAACTCGATCGATAACGTAACGCGCGCAAGAGACAAGTACGTCGACAAGTGTCTTAACGGTATCAAGATCAAGAGAGGCGAAACAAAGAGAGGAAAACACGAGGGATCGTGCGAAATGCGTCGTGAGATTATTAAGGAGTTCCTGGTAGAAATCACCAAGCGCAGAGTTTGCGCTAGCTGTGGTGGCATTTCACCCTCATACCGCAAGGATCGATTTGTTAAAGTCTTTGAGAGATCCCTGTCTGATAAGGACAAGGCCAAGATGGCTCAGAAGAATTTCAAGCAGGCCGATGCTATGACCAGGGTCCACCAAGCTGCAACCAAACAGAAGCCCGATGGATACTCTTCCGACGAGGGCGTTGCAGATGTGGCTTCTCCTGCTCGTGAGACTTCCCGCATTAATGGAGATGTCGCCCATCAGGACACGGAGATGACAGATGCGGACACGGCTTCTATTTCTTCTTCTCCACAGCGGTATATCAGCGCTATGGAGGTTCGAGCTCGTCTCAACGAGTTGTTCACCAAGGAGCAAGAATTGGTTTCCCTCCTATACAACGCGAAGCCCCCGACCCGAAGCTCTACCAAAGTCACGCCCGACATGTTCTTTTTGACAACCATCCTAGTTCCTCCCAACCGCTACCGCCCCGAGGCTCGAACAGGCGAGTCCGAGATTTCTGAAGCCCAGCAAAATTCTCTTTACAAAAATATTCTTAGAGGCTGTGGGACGATCGCGCGTCTACACAGGGAGTTACAGGAGGAAAAAGCCGATGTCAACAGGATGCATCAAGCCTCAGCAGAGCTACAAGAGTCAGTCAACGCGCTTATTGATAAGAATAAAAACCCTGTTCAAGGCGCTGCAGCGAAGCGCAACGAGGATGGCATCAAGCAGAAGCTCGAGAAGAAGGAAGGTCTCTTCCGAAAGAACATGATGGGAAAGCGTGTTAATTACGCCGCTCGAAGTGTCATCTCACCCGATCCCAATATTGAGACCAACGAAATCGGTGTCCCACCTGTCTTTGCAAAGAAGTTGACATATCCCGAGCCAGTGACCAGTCACAACTTCAGAGACATGCAACAAGCTGTCATCAACGGTGTCGACAAATGGCCCGGCGCTTTTGCTATCGAGAATGAAAATGGCCAGATCGTCAACCTTCGCAACAAATCAGTCGACGATCGTGTGTCTCTCGCGAACCAGCTACTGGCTCCCACGAGCAGTAATGCTGCTAGGACCCGGAACAAGAAGGTCTACCGCCATCTGACCAATGGCGATGTCGTTCTGATGAACAGGCAGCCAACACTTCACAAGCCGTCTATTATGGGACATCGAGTTCGAGTTCTCCCTGGCGAGAAGACGATTCGAATGCACTACGCCAACTGCAACACATACAACGCTGATTTCGATGGTGATGAGATGAACATGCATTTCCCGCAGAACGAAGTTGCCCGCGCCGAAGCCCTCCAGATTGCCGACACTGATCACCAATATCTATCTGGTACTGCGGGAAAACCTCTTCGAGGTCTCATTCAGGATCATATCTCAGTATCCGTTGCTCTCTGTAATCGCGACACATTCTTCACCAAGGGCGACTATCAACAACTGGTTTACAACGCATTGCGGCCCGAGAGCGGTCACATTGTTGGCGAGAGAATCGAACTTGTTGCCCCTGCAGTGATTCGACCTGTAGCTCGATGGACTGGCAAGCAGGTCATCACCACCATCTTGAAGAACATGCAGCCTCCCAACTGCGGTGGGCTTTCCATGAAAGCGGAAACACAAATCAAAGCCAGTCAGTGGGGCGTTAGCTCTGAAGAAGGAACTGTTGTTTTTCAGGAGGGCGAATTCATCACCGGTATTCTGGATAAGTCGCAGATTGGTCCCAGCTCTGGCGGTGTAATCCACGCTGTTCATGAGATTTATGGCCCGGCCGTTGCGGGTAAGCTCTTGAGTAGTCTCGGTAGATTGCTCACCCGATATCTCAACATGAGGGCCTTCTCGTGTGGTATGGATGATCTGAGACTTACACCTGAGGGAGAGCAAGCACGGCGAGAAGCGCTTGTGCCTGCCGACTCAGTGGGTCTCAAAGTTGCATCTTCCTACGTTTCTCTCGAGCAGGACCCAGGTCCCAGAGATCCTCTACTATTGGAGCGTCTAGAAGAGGTACTTCGCGACGACAGCAAACAAGAAGGTCTGGATCTTCTGATGAAGGAAGGTCTTAGTAAGATCACGGACAAGATCCAGACAGCTACCATGCCTGTTGGTCTCGAGAAGGCTTTCCCCTTCAACCAGATGCAAGCCATGACAACATCCGGTGCCAAGGGATCCAGAGTCAATGCTTCGCTGATTTCTTGTAACCTTGGTCAGCAAGTTTTAGAGGGTCGGCGTGTCCCTATCATGGTCAGCGGCAAGTCGTTGCCATGCTTTAACCCATTCGAGACTCATGCGCGAGCTGGCGGTTATATCGTGCAGCGCTTCCTTACAGGTATCCGACCTCAAGAGTACTATTTCCATCACATGGCTGGTCGAGAAGGTCTGATTGATACTGCTGTCAAGACGTCCCGCTCCGGGTACCTGCAGCGATGTGTTATCAAGGGTATGGAGGGTTTGACGGTCGCGTACGATACCACCGTGCGAGATGCAGATGGCTCCATGATCCAGTTCCTGTATGGCGAGGATGGCCTCGATGTTTCTAAGCAGAAATATTTGACTGATTTCAGCTTCATCCTGGAGAACGTCACATCAGAGGCTTCACAGCTCCGTTACGACCCTACCGTTGGCGACCGCCTGGGAATGCACCGCGATGCGATCTCCAAATACATGAAGAAGGCTCTCAAGCATACCAACATTAAAGATCCCAAGGCTCAGGATCCGATCTCAGGTCTCTTCAATCCTGCCACAACTGCGTTCGCCACATCTGAGAAATTCTACAAGGCCATGACTTCATACATCAAGGAGAATAAGGATGGCCTTATCCGAGACAAATCGGATAAGAATAAGCTTGCGCTTTCCCGCGTGAGCCTCAACAAGAAGAATGCGGAGATGCTGTTCGCGATGAAATACTTGCGGTCTCTTGTGGAGCCTGGAGAAGCTGTCGGAATCGTAGCGGGTCAATCTGTTGGTGAGCCTTCGACGCAAATGACACTGAACACCTTCCATTTGGCTGGTCACTCTGCCAAGAACGTCACGCTGGGTATCCCTCGACTGCGTGAGATACTCATGACAGCTAGCGACAAGATCTCCACCCCTGCCATGTCTATTTACCCAATCGAGGAGATGTCTGTAGAAGATGCAGAGATCTTCGCCAAGTCTATATCAGTGTTGCCTCTTGGCTTCATACTCGATAGCATCAACGTTGAAGAGAAGGTTGGTCAAGGCAAGATTTATGGATCAGCCAAGATATACAAGGTCGATATACAGTTCTTCGACTCGGAGGAGTACACCAAGACGTACGCCATCAATATCTCGGACGTTGTCGAGGCTGTTGAGAGGAAGCTCCTCCACCGGCTGCTAACTCTTGTGAAGAAGGACATAAGGAAGCGAATGACTATGTCTACAATGGCCACTCCCGATGTTGGCACCAAGGTTGGTGTTGTGGAGGTGGCTGCTCCCAATGCCGAAGCTGCCGGCAATTTCGAAGATGATGAAGATGACGAGGACGGTGATGACGACGCAACGAATGCCAAGCAGCGAGCCAAACGAAGTGAGGCCGTGTCATATGGACCCAACGATGATGACGATGATGCCGTGCAGCAGGAAATGGAGCGAGATGCTGGTGAGGATGATGCTGATGAGGATGAAGGTTTCGATGGCAGCCCCCGGCAGGCAGAAGATGACGGGGATGGCGACGATGTCGACTGGTCTGCAAAGGCACGAGTCAACCGGGTCCTTGAACAATACGCCGAAGTCACAGACTTCTCGTTCGACGAGAAGACGGGAGCCAGCTGCAGTTTCACACTGGAGTATGATTCAACTATTCCCAAGGTCCTCATGCTCAACCTCGTTCAA